AATAGGATCACAAGTCCGCATCTTGTACAGCAATTAACCACTAAGAAGAATATATGCAGTGTATTATTTGTTGAGACTGTCCTTCCGATTTGATTTGAAACTGTCTCATTGCTATCTCTTTGTCAATAAAACTTTGAAAAAAAAAAAATCACAGTGTTCCTTGAAGCTTGAAAAGTGGTGGAAATGTAGGACTTAAAAGTGCTTCATGTGTTATCTGGAAATTTTAACTTTGTGAATGTCAAATATGAACTTTATAATTTTGTATTTTGATCTTGTCCTTTCTATTTCCTTCAATGGACACCAGAAAAAATGTGGCAAAAAAAAAAAAAAGAATTCAAGGCCAGCCTGAACTAAAATAGCAAGACTGTCTCAAAAATCAAAAAGCAATCTGACTCTGAGCGCCAGCCAGGCATACTTATCTGTGCCACTAAGAACCTAGTATTATCAGAACATGGAAAATGAAAAGCTAAAGAAGCATGATATGCATTATCACTGATCCACACACTAAATTATATAGCTCAGTAATGAACATTCCTTTTTAGAGTATGGCAGAGAGAGTGACTCCCTTCCACACCTCGCTACATGGATGAGAATAACAGATGTATCTGTCTTCTAAGCCAAGTAGAAAGTAGGACCAGCAAAGAAATTCCCAACTGCGGGGCCAGGGAGATGGCTCAGTAGAATATGCACTTGCCCTAGCAAGCGCAAGGGCCTGAGTTCAATCCCCAGTTCCACCAAAAAAAAAAAAAAAAAAAAAGAAAGAAAGAAATTCCCCACTGATGGGCCAGAGAGATAGCTCAGCTCAGTGGTTTAAGCACCTTATTGGCAAGCACAAGGACCTGGGTTTGATCCTTGGTATCACATACCATGGCAGCCCTACCCGCCAAGCTGCCCAAAAATACAGAGATCCTGTATCACATACATAAATTAAAAAAAAAAAAAATTCCCAACTGCTGTATTCCAACAATGATTGGAAAGAATGCTGAAGCAGGGTGGTATGGATTTATATGCCACAAACTTAGTAAAAGTGGCTGCAAAATAGATAAGTTAGGTAAAAAAAAACAGAAGTTCTCAGTCTCACAATTGCACCTATTGCACTTTGCAGAAATGAGGACAGAATATGTTAGTGGATTGTCAGAGGATGGATTCTGGATACATGTATATGATATTTCTCACTATCCTCATAGTAAATACAATAGCAAGATTCATGGGACCTATTTCTTGTAAAACCTCTCAGTACAAGCCAAAACATTAAATGAAAGGGCCATCAAGCTGGGTGTGGTGATGTACACTTGTAAACCCAGAAGCTGAGGCAGGAAGATTCCAACATCAAGACTGCACATATGCAGGTCCTATCTGAAACAAAACCAAAAAAGGGACCAACAAGATGCAGCCCAAATATATAGCCTGTAGTCAGAAGTATTATTTAAAATGATAGTTGTTAAAAGAGTCACTATTTACATTATAATGTCCAACTTAGGTTCTCTGTATATTCAAATACTAATGATGTATTATGGAATTTGTTTACCCTAAATATTTTTATTTGCCACACCCTAGTGAGAATATAACAGAACTGACAGAAGTCCGTAAGAGTAAAAATCAGATTTAAGGAAAACTAAAACTCCTAGATTTTGATTATGAATTTAGTACTTATGTAGACATAAATCCCTAAAAGTCAAATAAAGAACACACCAGATAAAATTATATGAAATTACAAATTAAGAATTTATTTAAACGTTTTCATTTTTAGAAATAAAGGTTTAAAAAACAAAGTGGCAAAACCAGTCATTCTGTTATCCTAATTGCTTAGATGTATTCTATAAACTCCAAATAATAAAAAAAATATATTTTCACATCTTATAGAACAAAAAGAAAACCACATTAATCATTAAATACTTTTGGATTTTCTTTACTCCTCCCAACTTAAATTCACGTATATAAAAACTGATGTCCATTTACACTCTGAATCTCAAATCTTCAACAGCCAAGTAATTATAGTTATATGCAAAGAACACATTTTGTATTTACTTGCCATAAAAAGAACAGAGATTAATAATTACTGTGATGCTTAAGAAAATGCTGCTGTAAAAATGTTAATTATGTTCTTTTGTCCTTTTAAAGTATATACAGCTTTTTAGATGTAAATTTTTTGAAGGTTATTTTTGAAGAAATGTGAGGTGACTAGTTTATTTCAGATTTAGTGAAGAGTAAATTGTTGGTAATCTCCTTAAAAATCCAAGCCAGAAGAGTGTTATTTTCTTTATTTTTTTTTTCGCCAAGTGGTCAGATTCATTCTTAAGGAAGGCCTAAAGCAGTAGGAGGAAGCATTTCACAAACCTCTAACACAAGTTTGTGAACTGTCAACTAAAGACACTACCTCTGACGTGGATAGTTTCATTCAACCCATGTTCTACCAACTTTATATCTTCTAGGTCATCTTTTATAATGCTAATCAAGTGGCTAAGGCCTTCCTGTTGTTGTTTTAAATGCTAGAATGAAAGAAAATAGAACATATTAATATATTACTCTATTAAACAGCAAGCTACTCACAGCAAACATTTTTAGTAATAATACATATGTAAACATTTATACTACACATCTTTGGCTAATAACACTTTATGTGAACAAAAGTAAAAAAGACGTAATTCAAAGCACAAGAAAATCAAATATTAATGAACAGTATCTTAAATGCTTCTGCATAGCTGTTTCCTTATATCAACCTGTGATAAACATATATGAAAACTCAAAGATCCGTAAGTATTTGAAAACAGTTTTGTGTCCTGTGATGCATGTTTGTTATGCAGTGGTAAAGATTCTTACAGTTGGTAACATTTTTAGGAGTTTTTTCCACTGCTGGAAACAATACCTTTACTGGTATTGTTTAATTCATTTAAAATTCTTTTCCCCATGTTTTGGGGTACTAGTATCATTTCTACTTTAAAGAAATTAAGTAATCTGTCCAAGGTCATAAAGATCATAAAACAGATGATAAGCCATGAATCAACACCAACACAGGATACTGCTTTTCCTCATTTTAAAAAAGTAGATGGCAAGGCTGGGTGCGTTACCTCAATGTTGACTACCTGCATAGTATGCACAAGCTGTATCCAAACTCCCAATACCACACACAAGGTGTTTATATATTAACATATATAAGCTATTTAGTATGGTTCTAGATTATGTGTTAGAATCTTCTGCCTCAGTTAATTTTGCTGCCACCTACTTAATGTACTGCTGTGAATTTAGAAGTCAAGCTAGTTTTTAGTAATACCCATTCTAATGTATACAACATTAGATTCGTGTAACAATTATAGCCATCTAAACAAAATTCTCAGGGCCAGGCTAACAGTCCTACCAAATACGTACCATAAGGCTTATCGTCTTGTGACATATTTCTTTAAAACAGTGGCCAGACAACTTACGTGAAGCCAATCTGTATTTATATTAATGAAAACAAGCTATAAAGCACTTTGCAAATTTTCTTCATACAAAATGAATCCTGCACAGCTGATTGGAGGCTCTGGTTACCTCCGCCTCTACCAGATCCCCTTAGAGCTAAGGGAATCAGTAATAGCACAGTACATTTAATAGGTTAGGAAGGCATGATTCAGGGCAGTTGTTTCCCAAATTAACATGCACATAGGTAACTTTATTCTTTTTTCTTTTTTTAAATGGATTTGGTTGTTGCAGGGTCTCACTACACAGCTTGGACTCATAGTGATCGTCCTGCTTTTAGCCTCCCCAACGCTGAGATTATAGGCATGTGCCACCACACTGGGACTCTGGGCTCAGCCTGCCCTAGGGGTGGGGCTGGCATGGCACATGGTGCCGGGGATGGAATTTTGGTCCCTGTGCTTGCCTAAGCAGATACTTTAGTCCACTGAGCTATCTCACCAGCCCCACATAGATAACTGTATGATGCTGATGAAATGCAGGTTAAGTAGATCTGGAATAAGCAGAGCTTTGGGATTCTTAATGATCTTCCTATTGCTGCTGTTACCTGTAACTCTAGGTGGGAGAATGATGGTAGAAATGATTCACTTCTTAAAATTGTGGTAAAGTAAGCATAACCTAAAATTATAGCCATCTAAACAAACCTTCTGGGGGCCAGGGATATAGCTTAGTGGCATAAGCACCTGCCTGGCAAGTGCAAGGTCCTGAGTTCGATCCCTGGTACCGCCAAAAAAAAAAAAAAAAAAAGAAGGGGCCAGGGAGATGGCTCAGTAGAATAAGCGCTTCCCTGGCAAGCACAAGGGCCTGAGTTGAATCCCCAGTTCTGCAAACAAATTACTTTCTAAACCATTTTTAAGTGTATAGTTCAGGGGTGTTAAGTACAAAGACATTCTCATTCTCTCTCTTTTTTTTTTTTTTTGGCAGAACCGGGGATTGAACTCAGGCCCTCACGCTTGTCAGGGAAGCGCTTATTCCACTGAGCCATCTCCCCGGCCCCTTCATTCTCTTTTAATTGGAATACTTTTGGTACCTGACATAATTATAATCACATTCTATCCTTTTCTGACTAGTTTATTTTACTTAGCATAACATATTCAAGGTCTATCCATGTTGTAATGTGTGCCAGAATTTCCCTTTCATATATATATTTGTCCAAACTCCCTTTCAATTTCTTTGCTCAGACAGCCAGAAGTGGTAATCCTATTTTTAATTCACTCTACTTTGCATGTATGTATTTGGTGGAATTGGAAACTGAACCCAGGGCTACGGCCCTGGGCTATTAGACCCTGCAAGCACTTGTTAGTTTTTACACTGGGTGTACCACCACACCCAGCCCATTTTTAAATTTTAAAGGAATTACCTTATCCTCAACAGCTCATTAAAGTTGCAACTCTTCACATTCTCACCAACATTTTATTTTCTGGATAACAGCTGTCCTAATGAATGTGAGGTGGTAAGCTCACACGTTCAAAAAGTATGTTTTTGTACAACACTTACCTGCTTGATTTCTCGTAACAGATCTGCATCTATGTAGTATCTTTCTTCAGATCTGACTGCTCCAAAATGATTCTGCATCCTGATTTGGGACATCAGCTCATTTAGTCGGCCCTGAAAATGAGTCAAAATATAACTATTAACAACAGTACTTGGGCTGGGGAGATAGCTCAGCTGCATAAGTGCCTGTCTGACAAGCACAAGGTCCTGAGTTCAATCCCTGATAGGCCCCCCCAATAACCTACCAAACACAAAAGTACCACTTCTGACAAAGAATGCTTTCTTTTGGCTTCAAAATATTAATTACAAATTTCCAGTAGGAGTGGTGGCACACACTTGTAATCTCAGCATTTTAGGAAGCCCAGGCATGAGGATCACTTTAAGCTTGAGGTCAGCCTTGGCTACATGTGGAGTTCAGGGCTAGTCTGAACTACATAGCAAACCCTGTCTCAAAATAACAAAGACAAAAAATATCCAACTGTCTCTATATGTACCATTTGGAACACCAACACTAGCCAAAAGAATGACCAAGAGTTTATTTCAGAAAGTAAGTTTTAAAAAACCAAATAAGGGGGCTGGGGAGATGGTTCAAGGATCTGAGTTCAATCTCCGGTTCCGCCAAAAAAAAAAAAAAAAAAAAAAAAAAAAAAAAAAAAAAAAAAAAAAAAAAACAAATAAGCACAGCTGTACAAATTCCTGTTTGAAGACTTGTCATTTTCTGCAGATACACCTGAAATAAATTCTAGCTATATGGTCTTAGAAGCGCTTCACTTTTTTTTTTTTTTTTTAAAGGTTAAGAGTAGCAAAAATTACTGGAGAATAGGAATGGAGAATTAGGATTGCTCCTGAGAGAGGAGGTTACAGGAATGGGTTGCCCAGAAATCCTTACCTTGAATTGAGTAGGTGCATTTAGTTCAGACTGAATTGTATCTAGTTGAACCCTCAGCTGCTCTTCATCAGCTTGGATGGCATAACCACTCTTCCTTTGAATTTCTTGTTTGATTAGGACCTACACAAAGAAAGTCCATAAATACTAATAGAATGAACTCTTTTATGCAAGTTATTTTATTACAATTAGTTGTTGGGAGAAATCAACTGGAAACTAACACTATACAGTGGTAAGTCCACAAACTTAATTTGCTCTAAGATTTTGGAAACAATGGCCACATTATGGTTGTGTGGGGAAGATGGCTGTGGTTGTCACCCAACACAGTTTGAAAACAAAAATTCTGCCATACACTCTGTTTGTGAACCAAATTATTTACAAACACAAGTGCTCATGATCCAAGGTGCCACAGTGTAGGGCTTAACAATGTGATCTAAATTATGTTTCTATTTTTTTTTTGACAGGGTCTTGCTATGCAGTTCAGGTAGCCTTGAACTTACAATGTAGTCCAGACTGGCCTCAAATTCAGTGATCCTCCTGCCTCTGCCTCCTGAATGCTGGGATTACAAACACGGATGCACTGCTCTATTTTTTGGGGGGGGAGGGGTGCAGAACTGGGGGTTGAACTCAGGCCCTTGCGCTTGCCAGGCAAACGCTTATTCTAGTGAGCCATCTCTCCAGCCCTTCTATCTATTTTAATTGAGCAGAAGCATCACATAAGTACATTCAACAATTGGAGTAGCAGTGTTGAGAAGAGTACTGAGCATTAGTACTGAGATGAGGACAACTGTTTTAAAAATATTCATTTTGGCTTAAAAACTACAAAAAAGGGGGCAACATTATACTAGTTTTAGATACTTGTAATCTTTCAGAATTGTTTATGTAAAAACACAAATCTCTAATATTTAAGCTTAAATTCATTTTTCTTGGACTTTTTCTTCAGATTACAAAAGCAGCCTACTTTTTTTCTTGGTTTTGAGAACTGAACCCAGCACCTTTACACTGAGCTCCATGCCCAGACTTTTATTTTAAAACAGTCTTGCTAAGTTGCTTTCTAGTCATTAATTTTTTTCAAGAGGGATATTATATACATAATTAACGAAATGAAATCTTTAGAGGTATAACTTGTTATTTTATCAATACTTTTTCCATACATTAATGACTAGTCTATTCAATATTTATTATCTTGTTGGGCATACAAGATTTTGTTTTACAAGGGCCAGCCAGATAGCTCAGTGTACTAAGGGACCAGGGCTCGATCCCCAGGGTGCAGTGCCGGCCCTACCCCCGGTGCATGCTTGAGGGGCTAAAAACAGGAGGATCACTACGACTCTAATCTGTGTAGTGAGACCTTGTAGACCCTGTAGTAGATACATTAAAAAAAAAAAAAAAAAAAAAAACTTTCTTTTATGAATAATGCTAGGATAAACATTTTGTATACAGAACTCAGATTGCTGGTATAGATCCTTAAGAATGAAATTGCTATGATTAAGTATGTACGTTTTCATTTCTAACAGAAGCTGCTGCTTTCTAAAAAGATCCTAACTTTTTGTTGTTCTTTTTTGAGACAGGGTCTCACTATCTAGTTCAGGCTGGCCTTGAATTCACTTTGTAGCTCTGGCTGGTCTCACTTGAAACAATTGCCTCAGCCTCCTAAATGCTGGGTTACAGGCATGCACACCACATCTGGCCCAATTTTTTAATTTGTAAACTTCTGATTCCAAATATTTTGTATCTGCTCATCTATAAACTGCTCCTACATGTTGTTTTTGCCTGTACTGCAATTGTTTTCTTGTCTTGACATAAAATTTCTTTGTAGAATATGTACATTAAAACTATAGCTAAAAAAAAAAAAAACAAAAAACAAAAAACAAAACAAAACAAAAAAACTATAGCTAACCTGCCTGGCAAGCACAAGGTCTTAAATTTGATGTGATTTCCTGTATGAAAAAAAAAAAAAAAAAAAAAAAAAAGCTACAGCTAATATCAGTGCTGTTTTCACATTTTCCTTTTTGAGTTCATGATTACTCACATGTGCCTTCTGGCATCATGTTTTTTTATCCCTTTGTGGTACTAGGGGTTGAAACCAGGGCCTTGTGCTTGGTAGGCAAGCATTCCCCCGCTACAACTATATCCCAAGTCCATTTTTAATTTTTTTTTTCTTTGACACAAGGTCTCAGTAGGTTGCCCAAGCTAGTCTCAAACTGGTAATCTCCCTGTCTCAGACTCCTGAGTAGCTGGGATTACAGGTGTGCACCAAGGTACCCAGTGGTAGCTTCTGTATCTTCTGTTGTATAATTTTCTTTCTTCTTTTACTAGGATTGAACTATACACTCTGTTCTTTTTTGGAAAAAAATTGAGAGAGTCTGTTGTCCAGGCTGGCCTTGAACTTGTGATCCTCTTGTCTTTACTTCCCAAGCAGCTGGAATTACACTATGCCTGGCAAAATTTTATAATTCTTACATAGTCAATTTTGTTCTATGGTTTCTGTTTTTCTGGCCAAGTGTCTCCCAATTCCTTGCTTATACATGCAGCCTCATAAGTTTTTAGAATTAAATCTCTTTCTTTGGATATAATATGCAGTGGTCTAATTTTGTTTCTTTTGGTTGGAAAGTCAGTTACTATAGGATGGCTTGTTGAATTGAAATATCACCTTTGTCACATCAGTCCAAATCCACTTATATCTGTTTACAGATTCTCTTATTCTGCTCCAAGTACCTTTATGACCCATCCTATCTCAATTCAGCATTCATTTGATCACAAGAGGTTGAAAATACTGAGTCCCAGGATTCAATCCCCAGGACCACATTAAGAAAGAGAAGTGGGGTGGATTATAGTTCCCTGGCAGAGTTCATAGCTGGTATATGTAAGGCCCTGGGGTGATTCTCAACACTGTCCCTCCATATCCTCCAAAAAGATATGGAATATTTTCATTACCAATCAAATTACCTCTTGTCTCTCTCCTATTCTTGGGCGCTGGAACTAACTTACCCATAATGCCATATAGTGGGACTCATACACTATAGAGCCTATAAATCAGGCTTTTTAAATTTAGTATAATTTGCTTTTTTTTTTTTTTTTTTTCCTTTTCTCCTTTCACTACTGGGGATTGACCCCGGGACTTTACATTGGGCTACATTCCCAGCCCTTTCCTTTAAATTTTTGAGTCAGGATTATGCTATGTTGTCCCAGGGTGAGCTTCCTGCCTCAGCCACCCCCCACCCCCAGAGTGCAGGAACACAGGTGTATGGCACTATGCCTGACAATCTACATTTTTAAATTAGGTGTATCCAGTGCAGGCACACTGGAAGGGTAAGGCAGAATGATCACAAACTGAGCCCAGCCTGGGCAACTTAGCGACTTGATGAGACACTATCTCAAAAAAAAAAAAGGGCGGGGAGAGAAGGATTTGCCTAGGAATGTATTTCAAAACCACCTAAAAGACAGATACATATAGATAGATACACACAGATATATAGACATAAACATATCCACACATATACAGATATATAGATATAGCAATACATACTCATATGTAGATATGTCCATATGGATAAATATATGTACATATATAGATACAACTATAGATTTCTTATTTGAGATGGTTTAAAAAAACCAGCTACGAACTGGTAGAAGGGCTTTGCAGAACAGCCATGAGATCCAGCAATCCCACTTTTAGGTTTACACTTAAGAAATAGAAGCATGAGTGGAATACTATACTAATAGCTATATTTTTCATAATAGCAAAAAACAAAAATGAAGCCAAAATGTTCATCAGTTGATCAATAAAGAAATATAAATGGGGATATTCATATGATGAAATTCAGCAATAAAAAGGAATAGAAGTACTGTTACATGCTACAATATGGTTGACTTTTGAAAACATTATATTACAAAGAAGTTGGTATGATTCCATTGATAGGAAATGCCCAAAAAAGACAAATCTATAAACAGAAAGTTGTTATCTAGAGCTGGTACATTTAGGGTAAAATGAAGGAGTGGCTACCAATCAGTAGGGAATTTGTTTTTATAGTGATGAAAGTGTTCTAAAATTGATCATGGTGGGCTGGCCAAATAGCTAAGTAGATTAACCTGCAAGCAGGTGCAAGGGTTGGGGATTCAATCCCTAGGCCTGCTATGCCACCCCACCCTGGGTCATGCCAGAGATGGTAATTGAGACTGGGTGTAGTGTTGCATGCATGTAATCCCAGCTCTTGGGAGGCTGTAAACAGGTAGATCACTATGAGTCTGATCTAGTAGTGAGACTCTGAACACCCTGTAGACCGTTCCCTAAAATACAAAAAAAAAAAAAACCCCTAAAAAACAAACCAAAAAACAAAAAACGATAGAACTGATTATGGTGATAGCTGCGGAATGTGTTAAAAAACATATATTGGACTATATCCTTTAAATTGGTGAGGTAAACAATATGTTATATTATCAAAACTATTAAGAAATGTAAGAGAGTCATCTATACTTTTTCTCAACTGTCAGGAATAATTTGGAATTAGTTCATCAACAAGACAAAATTCAGCAAAGAAACTATCTGGCCTTGGTATCTTCCTCCAATTTTATGGACCCTGATTTTCTCACTGTTTCATGTATCAGTGATAAAGTTTCTTTTCTCATTAACTTTACATATATATTTCTTTCCCTTTAGATTCAGAAGGTAGTCAACCACTTTGACCATCTCTTCAAAGAAATAGCTTTGTAATTCTAATTTTTTGAATGTCTTACTGATTTTACTTTTTTTTTGTACTGAAAAAATAAACCAAACTCACAACCTCATGCTTGCCTAGCAGGTGATATGCTGCTGATTCTCTGGCCCCCATTTTTAAATTTTTATTTTACTGCTACTTTTTTTCTTAGTTGGTTTCTTCTAGGTTATGGCAACATGGTTTTTTGAATTTACTGTGAGTTTCTTTTTTCATTTCATTTTTAAAACTAAGGGCTTTTTAAGCCTATATAGTTTTCTGAATACATCTTTTGCTGTGTTACATTTGTTATAAAATGTAATATTTCTTTTTTTTTTTTTGTATTTAGGATGGGTCTCACTGTGCAGATTGGATTTGTAGTGATCTTCCTGCTTATAGTCTCCCAAGTGCTGGGATTACAGGTGTGCACCACCACGCCCAGTCTCCATTGCTGTCTCAGAGTGCCTTGGGGCGGGGCCAGCAAGACAGGCCAGGGGATTGAACTCCTGGCCCTTGAGTCTGCCTAAGCAGGCACTTTAATCCGCTGAGCTATTTGGCCAGCCCTAAAAAATGTAATATTTCTGCTTTCATGATAGTTAATAATTTCAGTTTTGTTGCCACTTATTCTATTTCCTTCATTAACTTGGAAACTGCTGTTTTTCAACCACTGATGGTCACACTCCCTTAAGATATTGGCACCCAAACATGTTTTCTATTTTATGAAAGTATTAGTGATCTCATATGTGCTTTTCTCTAAAGATCCTTTATTTCTTTTTTTTTTTTTTTGGCGGAACTGGGGATTGAACTCAGGCCCTTGAGCTTGCCAGGGAAGCGCTTATTCCACTGAGCCATCTCCCCGGGCCCAAAAAATTGCCCTTTTTTTTTTTGGTGGTACCGGGGATTGAACTCAGGACCTTGCACTTTCCAGGCAAGTGCTTATTCTACTGAGCCATCTCCCTGGCCCCCCTTTATTTCTTCACTATTTTCACCTCTGTAAGATGCAAACTTTCAGGTATCTTCTCTTCACCCAACCTATATGAACTCTCCTCCAACTTAAAGGTTTCAGTGAGAAAGTTTGATGCTTTCCATTTCAGAATGAGTTTTTCTGATATTACAAAAACCTATTTAACACATATTTCACACATACCTTACAAACATTTAGAGGGAAAAAAATCTCATTACTACCTGTAAAGTTCTATGGGAAAGATCCATGAGTTTCCTCTTGTATTGTGCAATTTTGGCCATACTTGTAGTCTGATTCTTTTGTAGTTCACTAATATCTTCAGATATGATCTGTTTTTAAAAAGTTAGGATAAGTCAAATTTGGATACCACAATTACTTATCAGGTACACCTAAATTACACATATAGCAAAGTCTAATTCTGAGATAAACTTAGAAGTCATTTCTCAAAATATAAACTGCTACTGAGCTCCATAGAGACAGTGCCAGGGCAAGTGACAGCCGGACGGACACTGGGCAACTCTGTACCTTGCTGAGGAAACAAGTAAACATGAGCAAACGGGATCCTAAGAAGTCAAGAGGCAAGCTGTCATCATATGCGTTCTTTGTGCAAACTTGCCGAGAGGAGCACAAGAAGCACCCACATGCTTCTGTTAACTTCTCAGAGTTTTCTAAGAAGTGCTCAGAGAGGTGGAAGACCATGTTTGCTAAAGAAAAAGGAAAATTTGAAGATATGGCAAAAATGGACAAGGCTCGTTATGAAAGAGAAACAAAAACTTATATTCCTCCTAAAGAGAAACAAAAAAGTTCAAGGATCCAAATGTACCCAAGAGGCCTCCTACAACCTTCTTGTTCTGTTCTGAGTATCACCCAAAAATCAAAGAACATCCTGGCCTCTCCATTGGTGATGTCACAAAGAAACTTAGAGAAGAAATGTGGAAAAATACTGCAGCAGATGACCAGCAGCCATATGAGAAGAAGGCTGCTAACCTAAAGAAGTATGAAAAGGACATCACTGCCTACTGGGCTAAAGGAAAACCTGATGCAGCAAAAAAGGGAGTCGTCAAGGCTTGAAAAAAGCAAAAAAAAAAAAAAGCAGGAAGAAGAGGATGAGGAAGATGAGGAGGAAGAGGAGGAAGAAGATGATGAAGAGGATGAGGATGAAGAGGATGATGAATAAGTTGGTTCTAGCGTGGTTTTTTTCTTGTCTATAAAGCATTTAACCCCCCTGTACACAATTCACTCTTTTTTAAGAAAAAAAAAATTGAAATGTCAAAAATAAATAAATATATATATATATATATATATTGCTTTCTTTTAATTTTGCATTTGTATTTCTTCCCTTATTCATTTAACAATTAAAAAGTACCATTCAGAGAATTCTTTGGTGTTTCAAGATATATGAAGCAATGTACAGTAAAAATAACACACTGTAGAAATAAGAATCGTAAGTAATACAGAATACAACACCAACCATTCCTGAATAAAATGTTAATATGATGATAAGCTTAGGCTTTGCAATTAACCTTAAACCTACTATACTAGAAAGTATAGTAGAGTCTAATGACTACTAATGGCTATGGAGTTTTAAATTGTTCTAAAATCGATTATGGTGGTTGCACAGCTCTTCGAAGAAACTAAGAATCACTGGATCATATATTTAGTATTTGCTATTTGTTTTTGAGACAGGGTCTTGGTATGTAGCATAGGCTGGGCTTATTCTGACCATCCTACCTCTGCCTCATATATAGTGGGATTACAACAGATGTGCCACGATACTCACTGGATCACATACTTTATATGGGTAGATTGTATGATATGTGAGTTAAGTCTCAATAAAAATGTGTAAAAGAAAAAAAAAAGAGGAACATTATATAATACAAGGCAAATCTGCCAAGAAAATGCAATTCTAGCTCAGCAATCTAAACACCTGCCTGGCAAATGCAAGAACCTGGGTTCTAAAAAACAAAGGGCGCGGTGGGACACGCCTTAATCCCAGCACTGGAGAGGCTGAGAACAGGAGGATCACTACAAGTCCTAACTGCATAGCAAGACCCAATACCAAATAAATACATAAATAAATAAACAAATGATTAAAAAAAGAAAATGTAATTCTAGATAAGTATATCAAGATACATACAACAAAAACTGACAGAACTGAAAGAAAAAAAAAGACAAACATAAACAACTGAACTGGCAGGCAGAAAAATCAATACAAAACCAAACAAGTAAGAACAGAACAACCAAGTGAATCTCACTAACACTAATGGAAAACTCCACCCCAAAACAGAACTTCTTTTCAAAGAACTGAAGGCCAGCCATGGTCGTGCACATCTGTAACCCAGGCACTTGGGAAGTTGAAGCAGGAGGATCACTGCAAATTTGAGGCCAGCCTGGGCTACAAAGTGAGTTTCAGGCCAGCCTAAACTACATAGCAAGACCCTGTCTCAACAAGAATTGAACTCACACAATTCTCTAATCATAACAGAATTCCACTAGAAGTTGGCAACAAGCACAAGGAAAATCTCGAAACACTTGGAGATTAAACATACTCTTAAATAATCTGTGAGTCAAAAGAAAAACCCTCAGAAGTCAAAACGATTTAATTGGAAATTAGTGTTTTTGCTATCCTTCCTTGATATATAAAATATAAAATTATCAAAATTGGTGGATTTCAGCTAAGTAGGGCTTACAGGAGCATTAATAGCATTAAACATTTGTATTAGAAAAGAAGAGTCTCAAATAAATAAGCTATCTTAAAAAATTAGAAAGATAAACCCAAAGCAAACAGATCAAAGGAAATACAAGACCTGAAATTAAGAAAATCGAAAGCAGGAAAGAATAGAGAAAAATCAACCAAAATCTTATCTGAAACCATGAATAATATTGACAAATACCTAACAAGCTAAATCTTGTTTTCCTTTTAACTATTAAGAACACTGGTCATATTCCAGTCATAGTACTGTACAAAGTTCATTTAAACGTAATGTCGACAGGTTAAGTGTGTCCTGCCTAACATAAAAGGCCTGGAAACCATGCACATGAGAAACCATGCTGGAGTTTTTAACTAGAAAAGAGAATTCTCAAAGAGATTATGATGTTTAAGTATTTGTAGGCTGTCACAGCTATTACCCACAAAACAATGGCAGAGAAAATGTGTATAAATTGTTAATAAGATACATATAAATTTAATGCAGGGAAAAATGAATTATATTAACAGAGCTGGTTGACAATGAAGTAGATTCATGAAATGGTAATCTCTTTAATACTCAGAAGTCTGAATGAAATTAGAATTCAATATAGGAGAATATAGGGTTAACTTTTAAGAACCTTTAAGTATTTGGTTATAAGAATCTACAAAATTTTAAGTAGATTTTAGAATCTAAATTTGCTTCATCAACGTAGAACATACCAAATATAACTATGACAAACATACCAAATATAGTCATAATTATAGCCTTCATTTTCATAAGGCCCCATAAATAAGAGCATCCAATAACTGGCCAGAAATGGAAATAACAGTCTAATTAAATTTAGATAGCCCAGCAAATCTAAATTCACTATTAATATTATATGTCAACTCAAGATTTATTTATATGATCTTGGGCACTCTATTATTAAAAGGTGATCTATAGGATTATCACTGTTATCTTATATTGGTTATACATAAGAGAAGATAGCACACATGGCAAAAAATAATTAAATGTCTACAGTCCCTTTCCTACTCTCTGGGCTAGACAGTGAAATGAATCACTTACATCTAATCTGGTCTGATGCTGTTTAGTCATCTGATCTTGAACCTTCAGTCTTCGGAGAAGTTCTTTAAAACCTACCATGGGTACAGGAATTAACCTGAAGAAATGGAAGCAGTCAGTTATCAGACAGTAAGCTCATTACCACAAAATACAAGATTTTCATAATAACATTCATGTAATATTACATCAAACTTCTAAATCCATGACTATGAAATCAAGAACATTACAGAAGATTTTATTCAACCTCCCTATTGTACAAATGAGGAAACATGCTTCACTCAAAAACCTGTATTACTTAAATGGAAATGTAAGTAGGGGACTGGCTCTCTGGATAATTTCTTCATCCCTGGCTGTTTTTCACCATTATGCTACCATACCATGGTAAATATATTTTTAAAGAGCAATGAAAATGAAAATTCCCCTGGGAATTACAATTGCCCAGTGCACAATTGTTGGCTCCCGTGGTAGTACTTTAGTTCATGTATAAAACAAAATGAAGATATACTTACTTTTCAGAATCAGGGTTATCCACCTTGGCTTGTTCCCAAATAATAGGATCAACACCTACCACAAAGAAAAAATGTATTTTTCCAAAACTATTTTGTTTCTACTTATATAGGAAAAATGTTCTAAAATATGACTCCAGAACTCAGAAGTGATCGTAAAAAATGAGTGTCAAATATGATCAGTATCAAAATAAAAATTTTTGTAGGGTAAAGCTAAAAAAAAAAAAAAAAAGGATTAAAAGGAAGTAACTATGACCCACAGAATGTCCAGAATAAAGAAAGGCCTATGAATCTAAAAGGAAGATAAATAATTTTACAGAGCATGGACAAAAGACAGAAATAGGTGACATAAGCAATACAAATATATGAAAGATGTTCAACGTCACTGGAAATCAGGAAAATGGAAATTAAAATAAATATTTTTAAGCTAGATGTGGTGGTGCATGCCTGTAGTCTCAGCACTCCCCAAGACTACGTTTGAACCAAGTCTGAGCAACTAAGCCACTGAGACCCTGTCTCAAATTGAAAAGGGCCAGGTAGCACAGTGCAAAGGTTGTAGGTTCAATTCCCAGTACTACAAAAAGTAAAATGTAAGAAGACCATCAGTGGCAAAAGGAGGAGGAGAAAGTCTAAAGATCTCAGTGGTAGAGTACCTGCCTAGCATGTACAAGACCCTGGGTTTAGTCCTCAGTACTATCCTCATGACAAAAAAACCCAAACAAACAAACAAAAAAAACCCTACTATGCCTCCTTGTTATGAATGTAAACAGTACAGTTTCTGTGTCCAATGAAGCAGTATCAAACAGACAGATCAAACATAATGTTGACTATTTCATTACCAAAAATCCAATCTAAAAAAGTATATACCCATGTGTTCTAACACATACTTCCACATTAATTGTTGCCTGATTTATAACAGTGGAATCACAGAAGTTAACACTGAGGTCAAGGAAAATAAGGTATTAAAGGATACTACATAGGATTTCATTTATGCTTTTGGGTATTCAGGATTGAGCCCAGCATCTTCCTACTCGGGTATATCAATATCCCTTTTTAGTTTGAGAAAGGGAATTTTGAGTAAGTTGTCCCAGCAGGACTTAAACTTGGAAGTCTTCGTGCCTCACCCTCCCAGGTTCTGGGACTACCGCATGCATCATCATTTCTGACTATGTAATGCTAAGAGGTAAGAGAATTACATACGCTCACATTTAAAATCACACATAGGCAAGTGGAATGTAGGGGAACATGCCTATAATCCCAACGTTCAGAAGAATGAGGCAGGAGGATCACCAAATGTTTGGGGACAGCCTGGGCTATATAGTGAGATTGAGGTCTCCAAAATAAATCAAATTGCAGATAATACAGAAACTGAATATAATAAATTAATAGTTCTAGGGAAGGGAGATAAAGAATTGTAATGGTCAACCTAGTTAATAACCCTAGAATATTTTACAATGAGAACTCACTCAGGTTTTTTTTTTTTTTTTTTTTAATGTATTTCGTACAGGGTCTCACTACGCACCTCAAACTTGTAGTGATCCTCCTGTTTTCAGCCTCCCCAGCGCTGGGATTACAGGTGTGGTGCTAAGGATCAAATCAGGTTTTATTTCAATACTCAGTTAAATAAAAATTAAACTAGGGGCTGGAAAGATAGCTCACTTGCCTGGCAAGCGCAAAAACCCACGTTTGATCCTAGTACTGCATGTCATGCTGGCCCTGAAACCAGGTGTGGTGGCACACGCCTATAATCCTAGTTCTCCCCTAGCGCTGGGGAGGCTGAGACAGGAGGATTACTACAAGTTTGAGCTACATAGCAAGACCCTGTACCAAACAAATAATACATATTTTGTTAAAAATATCTAAACTAGAAAAATTAATTTTACAAATATACCTATAAATAGGCTATAGTCTATTTTTTTTTAGTTGTTTTCCAAAATGTCAAACATATAACTTTAAAAATTACATGAAAATACTGGTATTCAGATTCATATTTACTAAATAAGCAAACATGTGATATACTTGTTTTGATTTTATGAACACTAATAACCAATTCCCTTACAAAAGAGGGGGAATACTTAATTATTTCTATTTTTTCTTTTTTTCTTGGTGGTACCAGGGATCGAACTCAGGACCTTGTACTTGCCAGGTAAGCACTTATTCCACTGAGCTATCCCCAGCCCACACTGAGCTATCCTCCCCAGCCCTCATTTTCTTAACTCTGTAGAAACACACCCGCAGGAGGATTCTGTAAAAGCTGCTTGATCTGTGCAGGAGAAAGTTCCGTTCTAGTCATAGAAAGGGTTACACCAAGTTGCTGCAGTTGTGTTTTTATATTGGCTTGTTCAAAATGGGCATACAGTGTGGTAGCTGGAACTCTTCGTGAAGTACCATTCGGAGAACGCTCAACAACATAAATGACAACTTCTGTCCTGGAAGAAAAGAACCAATTTATACAATATTGAGTATATAACCCACAGCTGCAGGTATCAACACAGCATATGAGTTTTTAAAATTAATTGGTACAATTTACACACACACGATCAAATTCATCACAGGATATTTGTACCTGCACATGGTGTATCTTGATTCCTCTTTTTCCCCATCCCCCTCCCCTCCCTTCATCCTCTCTTGTTCAGAAAGCTTTGTTTCCATTTTATCCTTCTTTCCTAATATTTTTCACAGCTGAGTTTACAAGAGTGCTAATTAAATTTAGAAATGGATTTTTACAAGAGAATTTTGTTCTTAAGTCTTGGAAAATAAACATACTTAAATGATAAAATGAGGTGGGTAAATAAGATAAAACTTGTAGAATCTCATATAAATACTACTTTTTCCAGAGTGCAGAAGTACCTTGGAGATTCTGATGAAACCTATGGGGAGCTTCTCTGCAACTGAAACCTGAGAAGTAAAATCTATCTCAGTTATCGCATCTCACTAATCGCAACTCCTCTAACCCTGTATGTCCTAAAACAAATGTCTTGCCACTAAAACTAAAAATTATACATGAGACAAGGGAAGCAAAGCAACTATACTTTTTTCCACGAATTAACATAGGAATTAGTTAATAAAACTTCCCACTAACATCTCTCGGGTACTCACTTTACACAAAGCTGTATGGTTCAGATCCTAAACCTGAATGAAATTATTAGCATCTAGTAAGAAATGCAAACATTTTAAAAAGCTTTTAAACAAAGTTTTCTAATGTTAATTTAAGAAATTAAAAATCTGCTCTGGTAATTTCTTTCAGCAACAAAAAGCACTGCTGGTCACACTCTTTGGATCAGGGCACAAAGAAATAAACAATACATTTAGTATACTTACTGATCATCAGGCAATGTTTTAATACCCTCTACATTTACAGCAAGGGTCTGGTTTCCTCCCAAAACTTTATGTAATGATTCTACCAACTGCTGTTGCTGACTTCGAATATCTGTTTCTTTTTTGTTGAAAACTAAAACCACTAGCCCATCTTCATCTTTATTATTGGGCATACAACTATAACCTACAGCCTGTGAAATGACAAATAAGTAATATCAAAAATATGTACAGAGCTTAAGAGTCAAGTGGTTAATATTAATAGCCATTAATATGAGAAAAAATAATTTAATGTCTGCTAATGAAGACAATAGTTCTTCCTACTATTCTGTATTCTATGAATCACACAGTTATGTATAAAGGAAATCTATTATTATGCAAGAATAACATAAAAATGTAGTGAAATTAACATTTTATCTCAAGATAGGTAAGTTTTTTCTTCTGAAGAATTTCTGTATCCATTATTGCTGGCTCTTTCTGAACCACTAAAACAAATCATAATAAAGACAACTGCCAAGCCAAGTGTGGTGGTGCATTCCTATAATCCCAGCATTTGAGAGGCTGAGGCAGAAATGCTGCACATTCAAGGCTAGCTTGGGCTATCTACTGAGACCCTGACCCAACACCTTGCTCCCATGACTATAAACACCATAGAACAAATGTGTTTATCATGTATCTGACAATAGAATCTTTTTATTTTTAATACTGGGGCTCAAATTCACAGTCTTGCATATGCTAGGGATGTGTCCTGCCATTGAGTCACATGCCCAGTCTTTTTTTTTTTTTTTTGGTAGCGGGGATTGAGCTCAGGACCTTGCACTTGCCACGCAGGCACTTATGCCACTGAGCTGTACCCCTGCCCCACCTTTGATTTGAAGAATCTGCTTAAGTTTTAGATAAAGAAATGATTTAAAGCCAGGCAAGCGCATATTCTACTGAGCTATCTTCCTACCCCAATTTAAAGGATAATAATGACCATCAAGTTAATAATTTTATCGCTTCATGTAGCAGAAAACTGTAAATCAGATTAGGTTATTACAATATTAAATACAACAGGCTGGAGCAATAGCTCTGCAGCATAAGCACCTGCCCTGCAAGTGCAAGGTCTCGAGTTTGGTCCCTGGTACCACATGCCATGCTGGCCCTGGAACCCTGGGTGTGCCATACCAGCCCTGAAATCAGGCATGGTAGTGCACGCCTGTAATTCTAGTGCTGGGGAGGCTGAGACAGGAGGATCACTACAAATCCAAACTGTGTAGCAAGCTCCTGTATCAATTAAAAAAAAAAATTACATATGGCACCTTGCTGAAAAATGGTCTTTTAGATACAAGCTTTTAGTCCCTTGTTACCACTTACATACAACTTTAAAAATACTTAAACTCACCTAAGTATATTATACACCAACTTTTTTAAAAAAGACAAATATTTAAACTTTATATACCATGTCTACTTCATATCTTATCACTAGAGATAAATGTTAAAATTTCAATTAACACATTTAAGATATGTAAATTGATTGCCCCTAACCTAAAAATTTGAAACCTAAAGTGCTCCAAAGTCTGAAAGTTTCTGAGTATCAAAACATGATGTCACCAAGTGGAAAATTCCACACCTGACTTTATGACAGGATATGATGAAAACAAGTTCACTAAAAATCCTGTTTGAAGCTGTCTTTTGGTATGTGTAGAAGCTGCATATAATATATAAATGAATTTTGTTAGACTTAGATCCCATCCCCAAGATCTCAGATATATAAACATTTCAAAATGTGAGAAAGTCTTATATATGAACTACTTCTGATCCCAGGCATTTCAGATGAATTACTCAACCTACACTTTTGCTGGAATGATGAAACAGGATGACCACTTTTTGTTGTTTAACCAAATTATTTTAATTTTATAATTTTTATATTTTAAAAAAAAGTACCATGTTTAAGGCACAAAGTGCTAAAGAACAAAGCAACTGCTTTCTTGATGTAATTTTTAATACAAAAGTCATGTTCTCTCCTATATATTCTTCAAATGAAGACAATAATACCTTAAACCGGCAAAAAGGGTTTTCTTGTGTGAATTCCACTGGTGGAATATTATTGTTGAAATATCCTTTTCCTGTTCCCCAGAAAGCCTGCAGTTGATTCCATTTTGCTAAAATAGCATCTCTCTCGTCCCCCAATAGTGTTGGAGCGGAAAGAGCACTTGCAGTATTTATCAGCTGGTTGGACTGGGTAGGAACTTGTGTGGGTTGACTGAAGAGACCACCTAATGCTATAAAACAGAAAACAGAAAAACTTAGATTTTAGGTGTGGTAGGCAGAATATGCCCCCCCCCAGATGTCCACATCCTAATGTATAGAACCTACATATGCTATATAGCAAAAGGGATCTTACAGCAGTAACTAAAACTAGGCATCTTATGACAGATTATCCTAGATTATGAGGGTCGGGCTCAGTGTAATCTCAAGTGTGCTTTACAATGGAAGAGAGCTCAAAGCCAAAGTGAGATTTGCAGATACTAGGCTGATGGATTTGAACAGCGGAAAGGACAATTCAAAAAAAAGTATAGGGCTGGTGAGATGGCTCAGTGGTCTGGAGCACCCACTTAGAACATGCTAAGCTTAAGCAAAACACAGGGACCATGGTTCAATCCCCCAGCACCACATGCCAACCAGCCCTGCCCCCTGGTGGGCTGAGCTGGCCACACACACACAAAATAAATAAATTAAAAAAAAAAAAAAAAAAAAAAGTATGGAAACTTTAGGAACTGGAAAAAATAAGGGAACAGATTCTCCCTTTGTGCCTCCGAAAGTAATCTAGTCCTGCCAACACTTTGATTTTAACACAGTGACATTCAATTCTGGATTTACAATGTCTAGAACTAAAATTTCTGTTATCTTAAGTCACATGGTATAAGACACATGGTATCTGTTTCAGCAGAAATAAAAAGCTCAGGCATGGTGGGAGGCAAGGCAGGAGGGCTGTAAATCTGAGCCCAGCCTGGGAAACTTAGCAAGAACTTGCCTTAAAATAAAAAAAAGGGCTGGGGATACAGCTCACTGTGAAGACCCTTGGCTCAGGTTCCAACTACAGCTAAAACAACAAGAGAACACAAAGACAAAATTTAAAAAACAGCTACCACCATGACCACCACCACACACAAAAAAGCAAAAACCAGTAGGACAAACCTCAATATTAAACTCACTTTCCTAATGATGCTATCAATAAAATTAATACCACCAGATACATAATATTAGACTTACATTCTACCATACCCCAAAAGAAAAGGTATTATATATAGACATGGAAAAGTGACATTTGTAAAGCTGAGAGTTTTAAAAAAACAAAAACACACAAACAAAAACCCAACAACAATGTGCACTGGTGTTATACTTCTATAATATAAACTGTAAAATATAAACTATATATCAGATTAATAAACTCTTATATAACAAAGAAATATACAATAAAATAACAGACTAGCTGTGAGGATCCAGGCTAAAGCTTTGCTGGGCTGTATAATTTAGAGCAAGTCTCTGGCCTACAATTTCTCTAGTGCAAAGGACAAAGTTGGAAGAATGTGAAATAAGTATTCCTGGTACATGAAATTATGTTCCTCAGTGAGACAAACTATGATCTATACTGATTTATAGTCTGCATCCCTTTTTTATAAAAAGGGATTGACCCTAGATTTTAACCATACTAGTCTACTCAAAGTTCACAAGTGGAAAGCCACTGATGAACTCAAATTATAAAATTCAATAGACTCTGTAAGACTGCAAGACTTTGTAAGCCTTACCACATTAGATTTTCTGTACTGTCCTACCTTCTCAGCACCCTATACGTATGTACGCTCAAAGAAAATAAACTTCTGCACAACACACATGCTCCCTGAAAAGGCTTTTTCTTTTAGATTTCTCGATCATTCAATTTCTCAACAGACACATACATACTCATTCACTAGGTATGCAACAAATATTTACTAAGTATCTACTAAGCATCAAGGACAGAGTTAAATGCAGAGGATAAAGTGGCAAAAAGACAAGAAACAAACTGAGCACATCAAACATTTATTAGCAACTGTGATAAGTTCTTGAGAGAAATACAAAGGCTGTGAGAATACTAAATAAGGGAACTAATCAAGTCAGAGAAGTGTTCAAGAGAAGGCTGTCTCATTACAACTTCAGCTGAGGCCTACAAGAAATGGCCAGCATATGCAAAATCTCTATAAAAAGAGAACTGGCAAAAGCAATACTGAAAGATGGAGTAAGAAAAAAAATGTAGAGTATAAATGGCTCCCATTTACCACAAACATGACAAGGGAAACATCAAAAACAGTATCAAATGTCAGCTAGTGAGTGAGAGGACCCAGGCCGGATCCTGAATAGTCCCAGAGCACAGGCCCCACGTGTGAGAGAGATTGCCAGGGCGGCGACAGATCCTGAATAGACTCAAAGCACAGGCCCAGCATGGAACCCTTCAGCAGAACTCCCTGCAGAGAGGCTACAGGCAAGACCCACCTAGCTGATTCAGGAGCAGAACATCTTGCCAGAGTGACAAAAGGGGTTCAACTCCAACGGCTACAGCAGAAAGAAGTAGAGCACAGCAGCCAGATCCAAACAACACCCACCTGGAGGAATCTGAACTTCATAGATCTGGACCTGGTGCTAAGGTAATAACTCTCTCTAAGCTCTACACCAAAGGTCAGAAGACAGTAGTATACAAAATGACAAAGAGAAGGAATAAAATGCAGTCTCAGGCCCTGAGTTCACCCAGTACAAATGCAGAAGATACTAGCATAGAGGAAACTGGAAATCACACACCTGAGATCTCTGAAATAATAGCATTGGAAGTAAAGAAACAACTGCACAAAGGTATAGAAGACTAAAAAAATGTAGCGATAACTATAATCAAAGAAGTACTAAGTGCTTCTAAAGAATACAATGATTAAAAAAAATAGAGCAGAATATAAAAATGATGGAACCCCTGAATAAGCAATACAGGAAAGAAATAGAATGTATGAAACAGATTCAAAGTGATATACAGGAAATTAAAACCTCAATCAAAAGCTGGCAAAACTGTTTGAGTGAAAGTGAAAATGGACTTTCTGACCTTAAAGACACCATTGCAGCTAGTGAAAAAGTAAGAAGAAGAGATCTCTTAAAAACAACTAGGATGCAGGAAAAAATAATTCAATACCTGTGAGACGATGCAAAGTTGAACAATGTGAGACTAATAGGCATTAATGAAAAGGAAGGAGTCAATACAAACGATATAAAAGGAATATGCGCAGAAGTAATAGCAGAAAACTTCCCAAATATAGGGCAACAATCTGACATTCACTAACCGAAGCATAGAGAACTGCAAATAACATCAACCCAATGAAAACCACACCCAGACATATAATAATCAAGATCCCAGAAATTCAGCACAGGAACAGTATACTAAAATCCACTAAAGAAAAGAAACAGATCACATTTAAAGGAAAACCCATCAGAATAACAGCAGAGGGGCCGGGGCGATGGCTCAGTGGAATAAACAGTTCCCTGGCAAGCGCAGGGGCCTGAGTTCAATCCCTGGTTCTGCAAAAAACAAACCAGAATACCAGCAGATTTCTCTTCATAAACCATCAAGTCAAGAAGAGCATGGAGCACAGTTCATCAAGTCTGGCAAGAAAACAAATTCCAACCCAGACTGATATACCCTGCAAAACTCAAGTATAATAGAGAAGTGTAATACTTCCATGACAAAGAACAACTAAAGAAGTTCACGATGACAAAGCCAAGCCTACGCAGACTATTAAAAGATATTCTAGAGAGGGAGCAAATTGATCACAGCCCCATGACTGAGAATGGAAAGAACCCACCAAATAGGGCAAACAATTAAACACAGGAGAATAAGAGGTATACAATAGTAGTCTTTCAGTTATTCTTTTGTGCTCAGCACACTCTCCAAATGGACTTCTCTTCCACCCTATGGGTCATGATTCCACCTGAGTCTACAGGGTGGCTTTCAAAGAAATAGCTGTAGCTCAATTCCACAAGTGACGCCTGGCCACCAGTAACTGTCACCGTCATTATGCGTGTCCACAACACACTAGAACTTTGTGCGATATCCTATCCTCAAACTGTTAGAAGTGCTGGTCATTTACTTGCCATTCCAGTATTTATCTTATGCTTTACTACTCTTAGTACTTCTTTGCTATCATGAAAACTTTTTCTTAGTTCAATTGTTTTGAAACATTTAAGTTTAAATTAATTAGTATTTAATTTTCTGAATATTGCTTAATCTTAATTTTTGTTCTAATCTATAAGAGTTATACTATATCTTTGACTTACAATATATTTAAAAGACATCGTATGATATCTTCTCCTAGTATTAGAAACTTTAAAAAGTATATTTCCATTTTC